TGGTCCCATTGGCATTGCATTCTCACTGAAGTGAGAAGCAGTCATGCCTGGAGCAAGATTTGAAAAGCCAAACAATCTGGGTAAAGAAGGTATTTCTACACTGTAGAAAATATGCAGTAACTAAAGACCAAGGACACAAGGAGAGGGAGAAAGGTTCTGTAATAATTTGAAGCTTGAACAAATGAACAGAGAGGCTTGAATTTATTTTCCTTTCTATTAGGTCAAAGGTGTTTTCTGTAACCTAGTGTCTCACACCAATAGTACGCACCCACTGCCATAACAACTAAGGCAGTCAGCATAATCTGCGAACACAGGGGAAAATTCAAAGCTCTGGTGAAGCCAATGGCAATATTGCCACAGAGCCAAGATTTCTCCTATGGACTTAAAAGACAAGCTAGCAAGATTTTTTTTCTTTGGGTGTTCTCTTTATCTGGAGATCTAAATTAACGTGAGCATTTCTCTGGCATTTACTGAGCTAGCACTATTAGCTATGTATGTTACAAAGAGCCCGTGCTCAGCCTGCTCAGTTCCACCACTGCGGCTATAGAGCGTTCTTGCTGACTTAAACACAGAAAATCACCCATATTTGTCATACTCTGTCATCTGCCATTCATATAACCGCTACCACATTCCCACAGGGCCTTGAGAGCACTTAAGCAGAGAGACATGCATCAGGAGAAATCAGTCATCTAAGTTACAGGAAACGTACAGCTTGGGGAAGAACCAACGGCTTCAAAGATTGGTTTCTTTCATTTACTCACAGAATTTCCTCACATGATGCTGCCTTTCCATATGACAGACTTGAAAATACAGTGGGTACATCGATGTCTGTTCACTTTCCATCTTCAGCTTCCCTGAGCTTCTTCAGGATGGGGTGCAAAGTCTGGATAATGACCAGATATTACGCCTCTTAAGCTATTCCTCTATCAGAGACATGTGTTTCTGCTAGGATTGCCTCATTATAATGGTTGGAAAATAAATGACAAGCATGTAATGCTTTAACCATGTGTCACTGCTATATAAGGTGGAGGGAACAGTCAAAAGTAACCCTTATACTTTTTTATAGTTTAACTTTTTATTGCTGTTGTGTTCATCCAATGGAGTGAGTAGGTGAGTCACAGAATCCCAGAATGTTTTGGGTTGGAAGGGCCCTTAAAGACCACCTGGTGCCAAACCTCCCACCAGACCAGGTTGCCCAAAGCACCTTCCAGCCTGGCCTTGAACACCTCCAGGGATAGGGCATCCACAGCTTCTCTGGGAAACTTGTTCCAGGGCCTCACCACCCTTTGAGTAAATAATTTCTTCATAATGTCTAATCTAAACCTACCCTCTTTTAGTTTAAAGCCATCACCCCTTGTCGTATCACTGCAGTCCCTGATAAAGAGCCCTTCCTCAGCTAGTTCCTCCCCAGAGTCAGTGTTCAATGATCTTGTAGAGTAAAAGCTTTCATTTGGGCTTTTAAATCCACTATGGGTCATTTACTCTGTCCTACCCAAGACACCTCCTACCTAGACCTAGCTCTCACAACACAGGTGCCACACGTGCTGGATGTGCCCTGTTAGATGTTAGCCTCCCCTTTCACAGATGAGGATACCAATGCTCTCAGTAGGGTCTGTCTTCCCAAAGTAGTCTCTAACAGGTGGTTCCAGACCCAGTGACACTTTAAGCACCCAACATCATCGGTCCCACTTCAAACCTGACTATATGTGCTCACCCAACACCACAAAGCAATCTGTGGCGTTTCTGAGTCAGTCCAATGTATTAAGAGGAGAAGGATGACTGTGTGCTCAGCAAAAGCCAACTCGTACATTTGGGAGTCATGAATTACAGCCTTGAGGTCTGCACTTCTCACTCAGCAGAACCACGCAAAGGCTTTTAGGAGAATTCATGAGAATTCAAGTTGTATACACCAGCCTGGATCAAAACGATACAGGTACACTTGTTCTCTAAAACCAAGTATTTTCAAGGAGTTTTGAAGAACATTTCTCAGTCCCCTAAAGATGACTTCCCAAATATTCTTTTAGTCCCAAGAGGCATGACAGTGAAGAAGATTATAAGCTGCTATTACTCAAGCAGTGGGAAGAATGTGTCTAGGAGAGCAAGCCAGCAAATTGGGCTACTGGTCAGACTTGTCACGGCTCCTGGTGAATTCCAGCATCCCTGGGCAAGCAACACAGCATTGCTCCAGTTTGCTCCGCTGCCCCCCAGATACAACAATACTCACCTGTCTCAAAGGTGGGTCCGATCACTTTTCTATTAAAGCCAGTGTTATTAAAGCAAAGTTATTATTATTAGCTAATATAATAGGGGTAGCAGCGTGAGGTCCTACATATAGTGTGTCTAGGATTCACTGGTGACAGGCACTATATTTGTATAACAGAGGTACTAGTGCTAAGTATAACCCAGCACAGGCTACCCCACACGGGCCTCTCATTCATCTTGTGCTCTCAAGTATTGCTGTCATCATTCTGAAAAGGCTTCCTGCATATGACAACAGTAAAAAATAGTTATTTTGTCTTTTTAATACCACTAAAGAAGCACCAATCAAGAATAAAACAAGCAAGCCCCAACTCAGTATCTGATTTCCACACAAATTTCAACCTCATGGTTGTCCTTGTTTCTTGCGATCTCCTTCAGTTTCTCCCAGCACATTATTCCATGCATCTGTTCAGTGAAATCCCAAGGCTGAGATGGCAACTTAATCCTCAGCCTTTTAAAGTCAAAGCATGAATCCCCCTGAAATCCCTTGCTACAAAGGGCTTCATATCAAGCTCATGTCTTCAAGTATAACATATAAAAGATCCCTGCATCAACAGACACGAAACCTGAGTCCTGCCAAAAGAAAGTAGCAAGTCCACATCACTTTTAAAATCACCACATTTTTCCCTTGTAATACAATTAAGCCACGTCCAGACAGATAGCGACATCAAAGATTGCTTATTAACCTGGCATATGGGGTCAATGTGAACGTCCTTCCCTATCAAACAAATTTACTATCTTTATCTTGACATTGAGGTGGGGCAACTTTGGGCAGCGCAAGTTAAACACCCCAGAACTCACAGCTCCGTGAGTCACTTCAGTTGCAGGTCAGTGTGTTGCTGAGTCATCAATTCTCATTGACGCCAATCACTTACAAGATGCATGTGCACGCAGATAGTAAAGGATAGATAAAAATCTTGTTTCCAAGAGAAATTATGTTGAAAGTTGAAGGCCAGTTATCTTTATGGAAGATGTAGGTGCTAGGCCTAGAGCATCTCCCCAGGTAGGGGCACTGGTTTGCAAAGTCACATATGTGGAAGTGCAGCTGCATCCCAAGGCTGAGCACCTACAAGTGTCCACAGAGGTTTTTCAGGATGATTTAGGAGACACAGAGAACTGGAGGGAAGAAAAATGGCTTACACAAAAACAAAGGGAAGGTGTTCCTTTCCATGTGGTCAGTGCATGAAGGCCAGACAGAGGACATATGTGCTGTGAACTAACAAACATAGTAAAAGTCTTGACCAGGATGGGAGGGAAGGAAGGAGCAGTGAAATACGAAACTAAAGGAAAGAACTGAAACTAACTTATGAAAGGGCAAACACCATGGCCCTACACCCTGAAAGGCAGCAAGGTCTGCCTTCCTTGAGCCTGAGAAGGCTCAAGATCTGATACCTCATGAGGAACATGAAAACAGTGCCGTGTGTAAGGGAAAACTGTGGGTTTTTTTTGTTTGTTTGTTTGGTTTTTTCTCCTTTTATTTGTTTGTTTGTTTGTTTTTAATAGTGAGACCATCAGCTTAGTAAGGTTCCACTTCCCGACAGACAGTTTGCAGGGAACAATGCTCCCGTGACTCACTGCAAGTTTGCTTCTGCTTGAAATAAAAGCTGCCAGGGGACTGCAGCGGATTACATTTCTTTGCTTGCTCACACACTAGGCAACCAGAGACCATGCCAAGCCAGCGTATGTTTCAACGGCTCATGGATTTGAGACACTTTTAGAAAAAGAAAGAAAAAAAATGAAAAGCGACCAATCAGCTTTTAAAGCTTTGCTACATTTTTTAAAATTCCTTCCCCAAAACCCAGCCACTGCGTACAAAGGTTTTCAGATGGCACGCAGCGTGCCAAAGGCGAACAACATCCAGAAGTAGCAGCAAGGGGCTGGTAAGACTATAGCAGTGATACTGTTTTTCATTAATGATATAAGATAGCAAAGCTTAAATTCTAGGGAAAAGAGAGGGGAGGCATTCACTGCTTTGATAAACTTGTAGAAGGGAGCACAGCCCTGCAACCCTCGTTTGTGCAATTAATGCTTGTGTATACACGAGCGATTCCTGTCTGTGAACATGACATGAGCAAAGCTCTTCCCAGGAATTGAGTATTCCTGGACTAAGACCTGAGTTCATACGGGTCGAACCAATAAACGTTTGGAAAAAAAATCGATGGCGGGAACAAGCCCATGAGGAACCGAAGCCTTACTGCACGTTGGGGCTCGGGGGTCATACTACATACTCCATGCTGTCATACTCCATGCTGTCATACTACAGCGGTGCGGGGTCTAACAGCGAGGGTAGCAGCTCTCAGCCAACCCGGGATCCCTTCTAATCGCCTAGGGGAAAGGGAAGGGGGACGAGGGCAGACCTAGGGGGTCGGGGCAGACCTAGGGTACCTTTGACAGATGCGCAGAGCACAGACAGGCGGTCACAAACCGCACCGGCGTCCTGGCCGCGGCCACCGCACGCTGCCGAAACGTGTCAGCGCCCAGCCCGGGAAGGAGAGCCCGACATCTGCGGGGCAAAGTTGCGAGCCGCCGCCGGGCTGGCGCTCCTTTAGGGCCGCTGCTGAAAGGCGCTCGGTGGAAGCTGTCACCGGGGAGCTGTTGCCGGGGAGCTGTTACCGGGGAGCCCTGTGCCGCCGGGGGGCCGTGCCTCCGGACCGTCACGGCCGCCCGGGGAGCCCCACGGAGCCCCGTCCCCCGCTCCCCCCCGGTGTCCGGGCAGCGCCGCAGGCCCGCTCCCCACTCACCGCCGCGGCGCCCTCCGCGGGCAGCCCCCGAGCAGGGCCGGCGGGGCTGCTCCTCTCCGCTCGTCCTGCGCCCGCTTCGCCCTCGGCCGGGCCGCCCCGGCGGCCAGCGCGGAGAGAGCCCGCCCCCGGTACCGCCGCCTCGGCTCGGTTTGGCCCTGCCCGCCGCCGCGTTATATAAGGCGGCCCCGGGGGCAGCTCGGCGGCGCTGACAGGGCCCCCCCGGCGGTGCGGGGGCCGGGGGAGCGGCGGCAGCCCGCCTCGGGGACCCTGAGGGGCCGCGACCCCGCGCCCACCCGGCGAAGTTTGACAAGTCGAGTAGTTCAAAAACCAAAGGAGATCGGACCCGTTCGCTCCCCTTCTCCTCACCTTTTAAGCTGACAGGCTTCGTGCTGCTCGGCCAGCAATAGGTGAAAGGAAATGAGCGAGAAAATAAACAGGTGAATTTCTCACAAAATCGCATTTTGGAGCTATGAGAATCACCAGGCACCACAAGGCTCATCACACAAACGTGAATGTGCATTCCACTCCAGCTCCCCGAGAAGACCCCCGGAGAAGACCCTTTCTAGCGAAGGCAGCAGCACGGCCAGCACTTCGCCAGCTGCTCCTAACCGAAATAACCCCAGGCAGTGCAAACAGGGATTCACCTGGGTGCAAGGACAGCTACAGCTGGAATCCGAAAACAAAACAAAGCCCAGGGAGCAAAAACGTGTGGGAATCGGGCGACTCTGTCTTCTGTAACCAATCCAAAGAAAAAATCTACTGCATATGCCCAAGTTAGTCTGGAAAAATCAGTTAGAGCAGAAAGCAAGCAGTGGTGGTAGGCTGCCAGCCACGGAGCAGGCTCTGAAGCCAACCGCAGGCAGGGGAGTGAACGTTTTGTACTCAATCTACAGCAGCACAGCAGTCATCACATCAAGCATGCACTGAGCCACGGGGAGGGAGGAAGAAAGAATGAACAGCTTCTTCGTATTTGAACAATAATATAACGTAAACAAACTGAGCGCGAGGCTTTTCTCTACTTCACAAGGCACAAAAATGCACTCCTTGAGAGAGGCTATCTTACTGCCCTCTGCTGCCCACACCTCGCACAGTTATCTGCAGAACGAGCAGAAAAACAGGCCAGATAAACGGCTCTGAGCCACACGTAGCGTCACTGCGGCCAGGAGCCTCTAGACACACGGTTCAGAAGTGAGAAGCGGCTGAGCTCCAGGAGTCAGCGGGAAGTAAAGGCTGAGAGCCCTGCCGTGCTGCCAGCCCTCCTGATGCCGCACAGGTTCAAGCAGGCCGGCTCACACCAGTAATGATCCCTGCCAGGGCAGCCTTCTGGGGCTTGCTTCTACCCACAGCCAGGGGGCTGGGAAGATCAGCCAGCCACGTGTCAACACAACCTTTCTTGGAATAACTCTGTATTTAAGTTGCTCCCAAGCCATCAGGAACCCCTGTCCCTCAGTGGAAAGGTTAATGGAAATTTTGTCAGAATTTTATGGTGAGACTTTTTTTTTTTTTTTTTTTTTAATCTGGTTCTGACCTTGAAGCACTGAATCACTGAATGCCTGGGGTGGGTCCGGTAGTGGCATACTTTGGGGTTATTATGATCTTTCAAATTGTCACTGAGGGGGAACTGAATGCTGTAATCGCCCTATGTTTGCAGACAAGCTTGTCACCCGATGTGGAAAATCTCATTTATTTTGACTTACTGTTTACCTGAAGTTTGTGTCACCGGTGTGTAAAATTGCATCTGTGCAACCACTTGCCTCACGGTACATTCAAAGTTGATTATCTCTTAATAAACTTTAGAATAGTGAGAGGGATTGCACACAGTCCAGAGGGCTGAACTCCACAAGTAGATGATACAGAATAGAAAATCTTATCTATGACTTTGCCTTGGGAAAACTGGCTGTTGCTAAAGTACATGAGCAATCCTTACTGGCAGCAATACACTTGTAACAAAAAAACACCCCCTAAGAAATGACTTTGTGCACCTAGATCTTTTGAGTCCAAACTAGAAACAGTCCCTTGTGTTCAGAGAGCCTGCCGATAGTGGACAATGCATCATTATACTTAAAAACACTGCTTGCATTAAACTCCCCTTTTGCATTTCCCCATGCGGAGGCTTTCATGGCTCTGATTTTACTACCTTGAAAAGCTTTGTACGTGCTGAGTTAGAGAGACCAATACACACAGGCAAACAGCAGGCATTAGGGAAATGAGCATTCAGTGCATTACCCAAACAACATAAAGCTGCCCACACACCTCACCTAAACAACAAAGGAGAGGTTAGAATGCCTGAAATTAGAATGGAAGGGTGGGGAAGCTTCTGAAAAGGAAAGAGCAGCAGCTCTTTTTCCTTAGAAGAAAGGAATATGCATCTAGAAGCCATTTGTTCAGCCTCAAAACCAAACCGCAAATGCTTGTCAGTGAATATGCAGCGTTTTCAGACATTTCCTGTGATGTGCAAAATGCCCATGAGACTGGGTGGGAAGCACCAAATACTGCTACTGACATGCAAAAGCAACAATGGTGTTGGCATGGTTTACTCTGCAGGAAGAACTGCACAATATCTTTAGGACAGCAGAGAAGCAATTATAATGCTGCAGGGTAACTGCTCTCTCATTAACGTAACACGCCCATTTATCCCTACTCATAACTGACGACAAACAAGTACTACAAGATATTAAGATGTTTCCCTTTATGCTTGCTTGGGTACAGCAACATAAACTTGTTATTCAAATGATGAGTCATTTGGCAGCCCTGTGGTGGGAGGAACAGCATTTGTTGGGAGAATAACATTTGTGTGCAGCATACCAGTGACATGCGTCTTTGGGATGAAAGGTTTTAACCCTAGTACTTCTCAGTTATTTTGTTTCTTAGTAGTTACTAGAAGTTGCACTTTGCTTGACAGAAAGCTTCACTAGGTGGTAGCTGCTACAGAAGATTTCTTTCCTCAGTGGGTGACGAATGAAGAGACATAATAAACTCCAAACGCTGACATCAAAGCAATGTATCTTCAGGAGCACCAGTGGAAGGATCCTATCAGTTAAATATGCTAACTTTGCACTCTGAATTCATGCAGACCAGGCATTTCATTCTCCCAGCTGAATATTATAAAGTTTACCTTTTGTAATGTAAACTGCAGGGAAGTGGGACCTCTGTGCCCCTCACTCCCTGTCCTGATCTTTTTTCTAAAAGTGGTCTGTAACATTTAGCCATGGGCAAGATTAGCAAATACAGTTTCTAAGTTTCATGCTGGGACAAAATGTAGACGAGATTGAATATACTTTGTTTCTTTGAGACATCTTTGCAGTTGTCAACTACTTTCTTTGCAATACGTTTTGAGACACGCCATTCTGTGGTTGCTGGTTTTTCTCTTCCCCAAGTGTCTTTTCAGAGCTCGGTGACCTATTTAAGTTAGGAAGAAAAGTAAATATGGAAACAGGAGGCTGCAAACTGGAGGAAAGTATGAAAATGTATTTTGAGAAAGGAGCGGGGAAGTAGGGGGTGGAGGGAAGAGTGGTTTTCCATTTGTAAACAGAAAGAGAAGCTTGCTCAAAACATATGCCTTTCCAGGTGAGATAAGAGTGGGATGAAGAGGGAAGTGGGAAGCACCCACAGCTTACTGTGTACAAGCCAACTGCAGGGCTGCTCAGGCTTGTACGCTTTGGAGCGCTGCACTCAGGGAGCACATGCTATTTGTGAGTCCCATGCAATTCTCTAAAAGATGAGAAAGGATTCGGAAATCAAACAGATTAGTGTTGTTATATTTAAACCAGAAGCCATTTTTTACCTGTAAAACTTCACGTTCTTCATTTAAGAGAATTTGATTAATTCATCTCATTTAAGCAAACAACACAGGCTTGACATCCATGATAAACTAGCGTAGGAGTAAAGACTTCGACAAGTCCAAATGTCTTCCCACAGCTTGAAATGAAAAATATTCTCTATTTAGCATATGCTTCATACTTCATTTAGATAGGAAAAAAACAATACACAGATTTCTTCTAAACAAATGCATGAAAAATCATTAGGTTTATGATTAGTCCTATATATAAACAGCATTCAAGGGACTGGAGCACCTCTTCTATGAGGAGGGGCTGGGAGCTGGGACTGTTGAACCCAGAGGAGGATTGGGGAGGATCTCATCTATGGGTACAAACACCTAAAGGGAAAGTACAAAGAGGATGGAGCCAACCTCTTCTCAGTGGTGCCCAGTGCCAGGACAACAAAGACAAGAGGCAGTGGGCACATGCTGGGACACAAGAGGTTCTGTCTGAATGCCAGGAAGCACATTGTCATGTGGGTGGCTAAGCACTGGCACAGGCTGCCCAGAGACTGTGGAGTCTCCTTCCTTGGAGAACTTCTAAAGCCACCTACATGTAAGTGTGGTCCTAGGCAGCCTGCTCTGCATAGTCTTGCTTGAGGAGGGGGTTGGACCAGATGTCCTCCAGAGGTGTCTTCTCACCTCAACCATTCTCTGCATGTTTTTTTTTAACCCTCAGATTTTATGTAATTACTGATTTATGTTGTGAAGTTGCTGCAGACCAAAAAATGTCTAGTGACTATACTGTAGTACCCAAAGACCTTCAACCACAGCCAGATTCATGGTATGCTGAGGAATCTCAATGCACCTAGAAAATCAGGTGATCTGGAGAAGCATCAACCTAAACACACCAGAACACAGAAGAGGGGTATGTAAACTTAGGTTTTGAAAGTGCAGAGAACACAGCACCAAAATGGAAGTTTATGTTTAGGAACATGCATCGTTAACTTCTTGCAGTTAACTAACAGCAATGACATTGACAAAGGAGACAAGCCACTGGGAAGAGTCAAGACCAGTCAGGGATGCAACAGGACTGATCTGAAGCCAAATCTCCTACATCCAACTCAAGTGTGATGGATTATTTTCTTGCTCCTCTCCCTGCCCTGTGTTTTTAAGTTAAATGGGGATGTCAGAAGCTGGTTTAAAACAAAAAATCTGAATTCCTCAGTGTAAACAGCAAAGACAGTGGAAATATAACATTCCACAAACTTAATATTAAAATTCACCACAAGTAACTACATTTGGCTCTCCTTGCTTCCACTCAGACTACAAATGCAGTTCTGCTATTTTGATTTCCCTCTGACTCGGCGGTCTGGAGTTACACTTTCATCTGTTCTGGTCTCTTTGCTTCTAGACATGCCAGCTTTGTGAAGCAGTTTGTGTCTGGTCTTTTAAGGGGCAGGAAACATGCTAGGCAAAATGATTCTTGTCTACCAGTGTTTAAAGTAGTTCTAGAAGTCCTTAATTTTACTTCCCTCCCTGGCACATGGACCTTATAGTAGCCTAGCATACAACTACAACAGAGCACAGATCAACTTTCTGCAATCAAGTGTCTTAAATTCAAGTACAGAGATAGAAAGTAGCTGCTCAGATGCACCTTCATCTCTTCAAGCTTCCCACAACTTGAAACAAAAATGAGTATCCAAACCAATTTCTCGACGAAGAGCCAAAGGGCTACTGATCGGGAAGGGAGCCCAAGGATGACTCAGATGCATGCTCTACTGCATTCTGCAGAACTGCACTACTATAAAAAAAAGTGATTTTAAATATCAGGGCTTTCTCCAGGCTGTTACTCATAGGATGCAATGTAAAAAAAAAAGAAACCGCTCATTTCTGCTCAAAGAAAACAGGCCTCTATATAAGCCCAGTGAGTGCTACAATTAAATATCACATCTTTTCAGTGCACTTTTTAAACCCTGTAATTCCATAGCTATGTCCAAGGAAGCGGCTAAACAGTGTGCCACTCATGCTTAGCCCTTTCTGTCCTACTCCCCTCTAGCTTGTTCATGGAAGAGCCTTTTTTTTTTTTAAACCTAAAGCTCTTCTACTCCTGATTTTACCCTGCACAGCTCCAGCAGTACCACCATAAACCCTCTACAGGGGTTTATGGAAGCAGACCCTAGCCCAATCCACAAAAAAAATTCAAAACCCAGGGACAATACCACAGTGGGAAAAAGTAAGCTTGGTTTAGTTTGCACATATACAAGGAACGTTCCCAGAACAGCACATTGCAGGCAAACATGGGCAAGTTTCCAGGCACACTTCTTTCAGAGAGTTCTCAGGAAAGTCTCAAGCCTTCAAGTTCCGCACCACAGCTGTCTTCTGAGAATCACCGTATTTATCATTTACCTCATCCAAGTTTAGGTTCTTTAGTAGAACAAAGAATTGTTCAACACCCACAAGAAATTTCAGTCAAAATAATTCAAGCTGACAAAAATTCAAATCCACATGGAGATGTACACAAGTGAGGGAGATTTTTTTCTTCAAGTAATAGTGGAGCTAGATTTTTTTTATAATGCCATTGATCATATTGGCTCATTTTAGTTTCTCATTTAAGCCTCACTTTCTTCATTCCTGCAATGTCCCTTCTGCACTGCCACAAATGTATACAGCTGAGAAGTAGCCTCAGCATTTCCAGAGCTGAGAATTACCCTCAATTACAGAAGTGAGCTTATTTATGCTACATCTAACAAAGTTACATTGCTAACAGTAACAACTGAAGACAAATGTTTAAACAAAAAGCTTCCACACTCCTCAGAATTTAATACAGATTTGTCAAGCAAAGATTAAACAACAGCAATTCACATGATTTAGGCTCACAACACAGATTAGACTGCAGTTTTTCAAAAGGGAAGTTATAAGAACTCAAATCTGTTAGAACATGTAAACACATTCCTAGGAAAAAAAAGACTGAAGGGTGTGTAACAAAAAACAAATCTTTATTGAAATACCATAGCATCAAGTTTACATTGCTAAGAAAAACATACTTGAGATTCTCTATAAGAATTCCATGCAAACTGCAGAGTTGCACACAAATGTGCTGATGTGTGCAAAACACTTGAATTTTTATTTGGAGAAATTTCTCATACAGTTGAGATACCCATGTGATGACAGTTTTGGTAGCATCTGTCCTCTCCCATTGAAAAGATCATTTACCCACTGCAGTTGAGACATGTTTTTCTAACAGATACATTTTTTACGAGACAGAAAAGTACCTTGCTGTATTTTTTTTAAATTTGTATAGAAAGATTTTGTATAGGAATTGAAAAACAGATTTAATCACCCCAGGGGCAATAGGCATCCAGTTACTACAGCCTACCACTTTAGTGAAGTAACTCAGTTGAGGACCTTGGGCATTCAGCCCCGACCTGCCAGAGCCCCCTCGTGGACAGTAAAGACACGCACATCAGAGCTTTCCTTGCCTCTCTGCAGCTGCACATTCTCAAACCAAACCAAGCCAACAAAAGCACTCCTATCACAGTAGCTGTGCCATGAACATGCTCTAGGACTTTACTAGGGAACAAGAATTCCTTACAGGCAAAAGATGCCCTAGGGTTTTCCCATGCTTAGGAAAGACCAGAAGCCACTTCCAGCATTTTAAGTACATCACAATTTGTAAAGATTACCATACGTAGTTAAGCCTGATGCTCAGCGCCCAGGACCCTGTTCTTCAACACTGGTCAAAAGTGAACACAAAGAACAGGAGATACATGTATTAGAATCCCAGTCTCTAGCTTTCTATTGCTCAATTCCAAAAGCAGACTTAGCAGGAACTGACACAATCTTCATAAAGAGATGATCCATGTGGGCCCCTTCCAACTTGGGATGTTCTATGACTATCACTTTGTATCTAGCTTCAAGGTCTGCATTTAAGCTTGAACATTTTTCATCATTAAATGCCAGGCTCAAAGGTTTTTGCTTTGATTACCAGCATGACTTCTCCCTGCTAAAGGCATTCTTACCTTGATCCAAATCAACTCACCCAGATCACATAGATCATCCATTAAAACTGACTTATGTAACTTCATATATATTCTTTGCCTCTGTCAATCATGAAATGGACTGATGCATTTTAAAGCTAATGCAAACACCCTCTTTGGACTATCCTATGAATGCATAAATATGATTCAATTATTCATCTAGTTCAGAAACAAACTTGCTTATAGGTCTCTTGGTTAGATCCAGGACAAGTTAGATACACCTCAGATTGTAAAGTGTCCATTTCCCATGGAGCTTGAGTTTCTACAAGAAAAAAACATAGTATTTCAACAGTTCTGCTGTTTGTTAATAATCAGGAACTGTTCACAGCTGCTTCTTCAGCATTCACAATTTAAGCATGCCACACAGATTTTAACTGTGCAGGCCAGAACTGTAGGTACATTTTAAACATTCTTAATGCTCTCAGAATTTAGGATATGTTAATGCTGCCAGATGCTGCCCTGATTGTATGCCTCAAATTACTTACCTGACATGCAGAACAGGAGCTCAAACCATCCCAGTTAAAAAGCTTCAAAAGAAAAAAACTTAAGCAGAGCTCAACTATTTACACACATAAGGGGCTTCATTTCCAGACCCTGCAACAAGTCAGGAAGACAAGTATCTAACTTGGACATGAAGAAAAAGCTCTCTAATAGTATTTTTAGATGTGTGCTTGCATACTACATAAGCACATCAAACCACTGACTCATAACTACTGTTTTTGCTCAGCTGCAGAATGCCTGGAAGTAACCTTATTTGTGGCTGACCAATTAAGCCCTGCAGTTTGAATATCAACTCCTATTGCTCTTCTCAAAATGAGGTGATAATACATCTTCTAACAGGAAGATCAACAAAACATCAGCAGTCTCAAGGAAGTCCCATTAATATTTCTTCTGAACAGGTGATTTAAATCATTATCTGGAAAATATAAGAAGTTTCACTTAGACCAACAGCAAACTGAACCAGATAACAAATAGTTATTTCTGTTAGTACAGAGTACACAGGCTAATTGTTCAAGTCTTATCAGTAGCAAGAACTGTTTATTCCCTTACATGGTGCTGCATACTTTGCAATAAAAAAACATTTGACAGTACTGTTTTCTTTAAAATGCATTCTGTTAAGCTTAGCATTACCTCACATCACTACAACAAATAACTACGAGTTCAGGTACTTCTGTTTAACCAAGCACACAGACATTGCAGAAGCTTTTCAAAATTTATAGCAGTTTTTAAGTGTTCAGCAGAAGTTGCTCTATTTGCTAAACAATATCAGACTGCAAAATTGCTCTTACTGTTGATAGATCGATAATGACATGGGATGAGCCATTATCTCCGTGACAACAGAATGCGAGCTGTTAGAGGAACATTGCACATGTTGCTGCCACTACTCTTACAGGCATGCCTCGGCTTCCTCCCATCAGTGCTCTCTCTGCAAGCCTGGTCTGCCCAGAGTACCAGCAACCAAGGGCATCTCTTCGACTACAGAGGATTAAGCTGCAACTTAGAACTGGCTATGTCATTCCCAGGGGAACACGTCCTCACAAAGTCTTATGACACATGAGTTTGATGTCCTTACTCTACATTCTATTTATTAACCATCTGCTTGGAGAAACAGCTAAAAGAGTATACAGGAATGCAGATAGTATCAAGTTCCTTCAACTTATTATTTTTAATTGAAAGCTTTTAGTTAGCTTTAAGAGTAGAAGCTCTTTCTTTTCAATCAGTTTTTATTTATTTCCCTCTGGAATCTCCAGAAACAGAGTGGCAGGAGTGTTTCAGCTAGACTAAAGGCGTGAAAGTGTACCACTAAGCCTCTTACACTTAAGACTTAAGGCTCTGATTCTGTATAACATAACCATATGACAAAAACCTTTGTGGAATTTACTAGTTTTATCCAGCTCACACTGGATAGTAACACATACATAGTAAACAACCCTTCTGTGTTTTATGCATTACGATTAACAGGCAAGCATTGACTTCTCTGTCTAGATCAGAAGAAAATAAGGTGGCTGAAAAACATACTGCCATATATACAATATACTCCCAATATACAATGCTCATGTGCAGTACAATATGTGAACTTTGCCTTCAGATCCCTGTTAAGGATTTTTTCATAGCTTCACACACATCTGAAAGCTGCAGCAGTGCTCCATACACTGCAGGCACAGAACCCGCTGCCTTCTGCGCTGCAGCTGGCACTCCCGGAGGAGCTGAACAGCACGAGTTACTTGGGGAACTCCTTTTCTTAACGCCTACGAGTGGCCGTTAATACACCAGAAGTACAGGTGCCAGATCCATAACGTAAATTAACGGGAGATTAAAGGTGCATTTAGGCCTGCTATTTGCGAGCCGTGCTAATTCATTTCCCAGTAGCGAGGAAGGTTTCGCTGTACCTCTTCCACTCACCGCCCGGCCGCCGCTGAACTCTCCTGCACTGCGCTCCCAGCCCTCGGAGAGGCCTCAGGGGCTGCCCCGAGGCTCCTCGCAGACCGAGCTGCTGCCGGGCGCAGCCCCGAGCACCCGCGGCACAACCAGCGCCATGCCCGGCCCCACTCACAGCCCGCCCACCGCCAGCACCGGAAGCGGAAGAAGCTCCCCCTTCCGCCCTGCCCCTCTTAAGGCACCGCGCCGGGGGAGCCTGGCCAATGGCGGCAGGGAGTAGGCGGGGTTAACCCTCCGGGAGCGGATTGACGGGTGATTCTACCAATGGAGCTGCGGCAGCGCCGTCCGCTCCACAAATAGCCGCACAGCGCTGGTGGGCGGGACAAAGCCAGCTGGAGCTCCACGCTACTGGCTGTCAGCGTTGATTGACAGCTGCTATGCCTGTGAAAAGGCGTAGATCCCGTGCGACCTCTCCCCGTCTCTACCAATCAGCGAGTAACGGTGACTCTAGGCCGGCGCAGTGGGGCAGGGGCGGGCAGTTGGTGCGGGCGGTGGGGGCCGAGGCAGGATGAGCGGCTCGCTACGCGCCGGCCTGCGCCTGGCCGGGGGCGGCTGGGCAGCGCGGGGCTGGGCCGGGCGGCGGCTGCTGAGCCAGGCGGCGGCCGAGGGCGGCGGGGCCGAGGGGGGCGGCTCGGGGTCGGGCACGGGGTCGCGGGAGGCGGTGGAGCGGCTGGTGCGGGCGCACCCGGTGGTGGTGTTCATGAAGGGCAGCCCGGAGCAGCCCCTCTGCGGCTTCAGCAACGCCGTGGTGCAGATCCTGCGGCTGCACGGCGTCGAGGACTACCGCGCACACGACGTGCTGCAGGACCCCGACCTCCGCCAAGGTCAGCGGGGCAGGCCGCGGGGGGGGGCTTTCAGGCTTTATTACGTGCTTAAACTTATTTGTCATAGGGTTTACTAAAGCTATTTAAAAAAGAGAGAAATTAATCTGAAGTTCTACTGAAACAGACTAAAACCCTCGAAGTTGAACCATGTGTGTTTCTCTTGGTTCCATGAGCCCTCAGGCAGTGCTTCTGTCAGTGTGAATTTATTGGGATTTGCGTGCACAACCAGCTCTGTTTATTAGTGGGGATGCAGCCAGGCCTGGCTTGCTGTGTGGTGAGGTGAGTGCCAGAGCCAGCAGTAGGGATGGACCTTGGTGTGAGCAGCTAGGGAGGGACACATTGATCCCAGAGCTGGTGGGCTGTTACCTTGCTTCACTTACATTACCTGCTGCCCCCTAACCGGCCAGCCTATGCTTGTTCCTGTGGCTGGCGGCCTCTGACAGGAGAGGGCTGGGCTGCTGGAAGCTGTAGTTTGGTGGGTTGCCAAACGTGATCCAACAGCAACTGTCTGAAGGCCGTCTTCATCTCTCCTGACCTCAGGTGCTGAAAAGTCAGGTACCCAGCCTGTCATACTTCCCTGAGCAAGGAGAATACGGCATGTGAGCTGGTCACCAGCTATGCACTTAGCTGAGGATAACGTAAATGTTTGCGTATATTCCTCTTCACAGCACTGGTACTAAGAGTTGGCTGCTAGCAGAGATGGTCCTTCAGGTGTATTTGAAGTGCTGGTTGGTTTTCCTGGACCTAGTGGAACGTGGTATTTTGAGGTTGATATAATTCAGCTGAACTATAACCAACCTTGCTGAAGCTTGCCCTTTGCTGTAATAGGGCAAGTTGTAAAAACAGCTCCATACCTGTACTTTTCACCTAAAACCACTGTCAGTTCTGTAAAACTAGTTACTAGTGCTGCTGTCAAGTGATTTATTTACCTAAATGCAAGCTGAGAATATGTTTCTCTGACACAAATCCTTCATTACCAAAGCTGGTTAAGAGACCTTAATGTTCTCTCTTGGGCTGTGGTTCCACAACAATTCAGAGTTCTGAGTTGTTTCTGCCATAAGCGATCCTACTCTCAGCTGATACGCATGGTTGGGCTGGTTCAGATCTATAAGGTGGTAGAGAAGTTTGGGATTATGTACTGAGAAAGTAGTGGTTTAAACCAGTTAGAACTGCTGTAGTTCACTCTCAGATTATACATTACCTAAGTACTGGATTCTGCCATGAGGATGGGCTTGATCTTTCCTCTCACCCTTGGGCTAACTCTTCTCCAGCCATGCTTGCACCAGTGCTAATGATGTCCATGAAAATGTGTTGCTTTTCTGGAGAGAGTGTGGTAGGAGTGATACTGGTTGCTTGAATCATCTCCCTGATGTGGTTCCTTGCTCATTAGTGCTAGTGCTGGCAAGAGAGGCTGAGATATGGCCACTGGAGTTGGGGAAATAGAGGGGGAGTGCTCTTGGTACCCCTTTCAGTAGTAGTTTGCACAGGTTGTGGCTTCAGTCACCTTGTGATGTGCTAGTTCAGCTGTCAAGCTTTTAACTGGAGTAAGGTTTCACAGAAGTGTTTGAAAAGAGAAGCCTGCAGCTTCTGAAGTGCAGAGGGAAGCCGTAACCTCCAGGGAATGGGAAGGAAGCTCCTTGCAGTGTCTGCACTTCTGAAGGGTTCATCGCTGAAGTGCATCCTCAGTGCAGTAGGCATAGACCAGGCTGACTTGCGTTAATGGTACTGAAGCAGTTTTGGTAAATGTTGTGTTGAACTCAGGGTTTATTTAACAGATCCAGTTTGTAATCTGGTCGAGCTCCAGCACACAGACAGTTAAAGCAGCTTGTCTCATATGTGAAGGGCAGCACACAGGGCAGTCCAGCTAGACTGTGTTCATGTTTTTATCTGTAGTTGAGTAGAGCCTTGAAAGTGCTATCAGTGCCTGGTCCTTGAAGAAGATATTTCTGTAAAAGAATAATGTTACCCTGGAGTGTTTATTAGCAATAGACATTATGTAGTGCCCTTGGGTCTCAATTCATGTTTAGCATTACAATATCTTAACAGAAACAAACCTCGTTTCATATCTACGGTGGCTCTTTTGAGAAGGGTTATCCCTGAGTGTGACTTTGTGTTGGGACTCAGTTCTTTATTGCAGCTGTTATGGGTTAAAAGGTTTTTAGGGTAAAAAGATTTGGGGGATAGTTTGAGCACTTCGGAGTGCTCAAAGGCCAAGGAATGTTTGAGAGAAGTACTACTTTTCTTGAACATTGAAACACAAGTTCACACCAAAACTTCCAATTTCTGCAAACTGTATCTGAACAAACAAGAAAGGTATTTGTGAAGTGCTAAGGAAGAAGTTATAGGTGGTGATGCCAGAGATAGGATTAGATGGTTATGGATTAGCTGATTCCTTTTGCCATTGATATGCCAAACTTGCTATTTGGGGCTTTTTAAGCATTAGATGTCCATGCACAAAATATTAAGTCAAAATAAAATCTTTTAGCTGATGTTGCACTTTATAGTTAGAGACACTTTGTCATAGCAAATATTTTTCTAGATTACTGTTATTTTTTTAGAATGCTTATGTTACTTACCATCTTTTTAATCTTTTATGAAACAATGCCTTTGTGTAAAAGGTTGTTTTAAAAGTGGCAAACTAGGTTTACTGATTCTTCTGTATATTTTTTCCTGATGTCTTTCAGAACAATTTGGCATTTGATTTATATCATCTGATCAGTTAATATTTTTTGGATGACTTTGTCTTTTATGAAGTATGGTTTTTAACTTCAGTTCTGTACTTCATAACTGTGACTGTAGCTAGCTCTGTTTGATATAGTGAGTTCTGAGAGACTTCAACCTTTGTGCCCCTCCCTTGGGCTGTAAGGTCTGGCACTGCAAGATAAAGCAATTTAAAATTTCTTAGGCTTCCAGAGGAGTGAATGCATCTTCTTATTACTGCAATTTAAATTATAGCTGTATGAATTCAGTAAAACATGAATGCTTTAAAGTTCCTTAGAGAAATGTAAAAGGTAAAGGGATATAAACATTTCTCAGTGGTTCTCAAGATTTTCCACCTCTTTGATTGAATGAAAACAGTACTGCTTGTTTCCTGGGTGGGAAGGGAGACACCATGTTTTTCCAGCATGTTTGAAGTCGCTGTAGGAGCTGACTTCATATCTTTCAACCCATGTCTAGAGTTGGAATGGGAACAAAAGCTAAATTTAACATAGTTTTTCTTTTAGCATTACTGTTATTTGTATGAGTTACTGCCACAGTGGGGAAGAAACGAAAATATTAATAGTTCTGTCAGCTTGAAGCAATTGTATTCCATTTAAAATTCCATTGTATTTGGAGGGAGAGGGGAAACATTTAATGCCTTTGTTTTTCTTAATGCAGGAATAAAAAACTACTCAAACTGGCCCACCATCCCACAAGTGTACCTCAATGGTGAATTCGTTGGTGGCTGTGATATACTCCTCCAGATGCATCAGAATGGAGATCTTGTAGAAGAGCTGAAGAAGTTAGGAATCCGCTCAGCACTTCTGGATGCAGAAAAAGACCAAGACAAAAAGTAAAACAAGCAAAAAAAAGATGCTGTGATAGGAATAAGGAAAAACTTCAATAAGAACTTGTTACCAGTAAAGCCTTATGTACTTCAGCTCAAAGAAGGCATCTTCTTTGGCATTTTTTCACTAAGGCATCTTTTCACTAAGATTTATCAGTGGCTGTCTCTTAGCTCATGGTAAATGTAGTGATCTCAGTATTTTGGTTTATGGATATTGTTGTGAAAATGAGTATAACCACTGCACTGTAAAGCATACATTTGTGGAAATCATGTTTAAAAACAAGTACACTTCTGAAAACATTCTTTTGATTGAGGGCAGGAGTAAACCAAAAGAATTAATAATTTTATTTTTATGAATTCTGAGTTTGTTTCTTTGTTCTTTGTTACATGAATCTATGCAAACAGTGTTTGCATTTCCTTGTTCCTTTTAAAAAAAAGTGCAAAGTAGTATTGCATCTTCTTTTGTATAACTCCTGATAAGACTTCCTGAGAGCTTGTAAAATTTCTCATATGATATAGGAGAAAACAGTCTTCAAATAATATAGAAGAAAAGATGATATGAGAGTGCATGAAATATACTTTTATTCTAAAGGGTAAAAATAAACACACTAGTATGAATACATGTATAATGGTCATTATTACTTTGTAACTTTGTTAGCTTTTAAAGGGTTGCTAAGAATTGTGCCTAAAGATTTTATAAAAAACATTTTCTACCTCTTGTGAAATGGCTTTCCCCCCTGGTTATGTGTGTTGGAGTTCTTCTGTGTCATAGCAAAAATGTGGGATTTTTTTTAAGACTTCAGTATTCTAGCTTACATCATTACAGCAGAATACTTTAGTAACTACTGCAGTATTTGGTAGCTACTAAGTTATCTTTTTAGATTTGCTGTAATTCCAAGTGTTCCCTCTGGAGTGCTGTTCTTCAGGGAATATGGTCTTCAAACATAGGATAAAGAGGCAAAATGTTTCATGGAGATCAGATAAAAAGTGCAGCAGAAAGGCTACTGAATAGATAAGTATTTGTTGGAAGCTCTCTGAAGTCTTTATATAACTGTATAACCCTGTAGTAAAAAAAAAAAGTAAAAAAGTAAAAAATTGTCATAAGTAAAAATAAATTGTTTTAAACAGTGTAGCTTCATCTGTAAAAAAGTAAAAAATTGTCATAAGTAAAAATAAATTGTTTTAAACAGTGTAGCTTCATCTGTATAGCAATACTGCTAAGGTTAAAAGCTAACAAAGCTTTAAAATAATAAAATGCAAAATAAAATTTACTTTAAAATAGCAAAATGCAATTTACTTTTCTTAATACAGAGCACTAAATGGTTTGCATGTGAATTAGGCAAGTGATTGGAAAAACTATTATGTAGAGTGTCTCCAATAATTCTTTTTTATTTTAAGCGACTAGTGAAGCTGGTACTGCTTTTGATGTGAAACCTAAAATGCAAGTAAGGAAAAACTATCAGTGGAGGAGGTTCAGACTGGAACTGGTAGATGAGATTTAATGCAAGTTCCAGTTTTCTCTCTTGTTCACTTGAGCAAGCAGTCTAGTAGGCAAGCTATACTTGTACAGCCTTCACAGAAATTTTGAAATGTGCTGGTTGCAGTAAATGCTGTGTATAGTGCAGTCACTGTCTCCTGGATTAAATGCAGCGTGTATGTTCTCTGTATTCTCTTGTTTATGAAAAAGCTGCTCAGCTCCAGTACCAGTAGAACTGACTTGAGAATGAACTCTGATCATGAATAACCTATGCTCAGAGGCAGTCATTTGTGATTGTTAGTTATGTATATGAGTGCAACAGTTTTTTTGTTCATACACAGTATCACATTCATGAAATGCATATCTCAAATTCAGCTTTGTCTCTTGGAAATCTGGTTAAATGAGCTTTCTTACAGCTAATCTTTCATGGTTTTTTTGGCCATTCTGAATGTAAAATAAGGTTTGGAAAAATAAATGAATTTCAAAAGCTTCTGTTTTTTCATGTCAAAAGACCAAATGAAATGGACATACACTGTAGACAAAGAATAAGGTAACTTGAAGAAAAGCCACTTATTTTCTACTTCAATGTTTAATTATTAGTCTGGCTAGTAAATCTATTAAAAAAAAAAAAGGACCCCCCCAGTCTGCTGTTTTGTGGAGCTTTGTTCTTTATTATTCTGTGAAAGTTCAATATTTCCAGTATTATCTGGTACTAGTTTAAGATAAAGGTAATTCTAGCTTTGTCAGGTCTTCTTTCTCCTCTGAAGAGCATTTCCCCTCCTATCCCCCACAGGCTTCTGCTGTTATTGAAATTATGAATAGTTTTTCTCCCTTTTTGTTCTTAATTACTCAGTTTAAAACTTGTATAATGTGCAGTACTGTTTATATCAATCCTTTGCTTAATTAGCATGTCTTGTAATTAGCAAGTAGAAGGAAGAGCAATGCCAAAATGTGTGTGTAACGAAACCATAGGAGTAGGTACATAAAATATGGCTTCTGCCTGCATTCCTTTATGTGCCAGGCTGTGTGCACGAGCACTTTTTACATGTTGCATCTTATCTATGTAAATATTCACGTTAATCTCATTGCAATAAAAAAATCAACATCAGTAAAGCTTCAGATGCTCACAAAGACACTTATTTTGGGAGCTGATTGAGAATTTCCCCTAACAAGCTAGTTCTCAGGTTGATCATTTTAGAAAATTGGCACTAGTTTGTTCTCCGCTTAATCAGATGGTGATATCAATCAGTGGGTGCCCAAAGCTTGTAGTGGGGGGGGTCTTGTGCATGAGGAGTTCATAGCTGGGAGGATGTGATGGTGACTTCCCTACAGGAGGAGTGATTCCTCACAGGAGGCAGCAGCTGGCAGAGCACCACTGGGCATCGCTGCTTGTGCTTCCCTGATTGTGGAAGAGGTGATAGTGCTCAGGAGCATGTCTTGGGAAGGCTGGCTGGGAAGTTGCTGAGAAGACAGCTGAGAGCAGGCAGGGTGCTGACCTTGCCATCTGTCTCTGGTGAAGAAAAGCAAGTCTGCCTTTTCCTGAGGTTGCCAATGTATGACTGCATCTCAGCACAGCAGGCATCAAGGCGTGAACGAGCATTACCACCTGAACGGCGTCTCCTGATCAAGGTAGGTCATACTGAGCTGCCAGCTCTAGCAACACCCCGTGAGCCCCATTACTTCTCTCTCCTGTGTCATACCAGGTGGGTGTCCTGGCTGAGTGCTCCTAAGGTGAGATGCTTGTGGACCCAGTTTGGCTGTGTTGAGCTACTGAGGGCTTGCGATGAGATGGATGCATGTAAACCATTATCTGTTATCATTCTATTAGTATGGGACTGTAGTATGAATGATTGACATGCTGGAGTTCTCTACTATGATTGTAATTACTTGTATGGTCCTCTGAGGATGCCTGTGATACTGCTGTTGGGGTAAAAGGCTGAGCTAAGTGAACCAAGCTGTTCACCAGATCATTAATTAAGGTAATCCTTTGCATCTTGTAACACTTCTCACCTGCTGCATATACAGCAAGGTGGTTTGATTAAAGCAAATGAGAACAGTTATATAATACAAGCAGTCTGATTTCAGAAAGGTTAGGCCTCCACCAAAGAGGGGTGGGTTTCTTTGCTCTTGTTGAACTGATGGGGCAGACGGAAGCCAGTTACAGATGTCATTTTATTACCTTGCTAATTTTTATTTGGAAGAACTCAAATCAGTTAAGCCAAGAGTTGTTTCCCAGAGAAAACAAGCTGCTACTGGCTCCCAACACCCTAATGGGTTACGTGGTAAGTGAATTTTCTGGCATCAGTGTCCTTTTCCTTGCTTTAACAGTGTGGTCAATGTTTTGTTTTTCTTGTCTATCATGAAAAGAGAAGTGTAAAATGTCCTGAGGTGTTTCAAGTGCCTTTATTTGGGTCTGTTAATATAGAGCCTTATTTTCTCAGTGTATTCTTCAGAAAGGTGGGCTAGAAATTTATTTACTTTTTTTAACTTCCCAGGAGACTGTTAATGATAATAAAACGCATAGAAAAAGTATGGGAATGTGAAATCAGAGAATCATACTAAGGGAAACCTCTCCCAAACTGGCACTAGTAATCCAGTCAAGGCCTTTTCAGTGCGGGCATCTAAGAATGGTAATATTAAAATGTAAACCTGGCAGGCTGAACAGTAAATCCTTGTCTAATCTGGTTTGTGTCCTTACCCCCAACCTCCCCCCCCTACCCCCCAGGAGAAAAACAGATCTCCTTACAACAGGTTTTTCAACATTCATAATACAGGACTATGTAAGCAAAAAATGCTCACCTATTATGAGACAGGCAGCACTTGTTAACGTCTCTGTAAGCAAAGGTGGAAAGACAACGAGTTAAAGAGGGTTTGAAGTTTTGGAATTGTCTATAGTGCTGCTTGCTTTTTTTGTGTGTTACATCTTTTTGCTGGGAGGCTGCTTATTCCATTGAACAGCGCTGTCTTAGTGCACCGAGATCTCTTATGTGGCATGCTCCTGGATACAGAAGCTGCTAATTGATTTAACTGTTTGGGGCCTATCCCCATGTATCATTTATGGAAAACAGATTTTAGTTAGAAAAAAAGGATTGAGGTAGTGAAGGGTTCAGTTTCTATTTTCAGTAATTTGCCTTGAAAGGTACGTACAAAAATTCACGTTGTAGATTCAGGCTTTATTTGATTTAAGCTGAAATAAAAACAAGATCTACATTGTTGGCACAGAACCTGTGCTGTTTCGCCTGTGTGTGTAATTTCCAGGTAGTCTTTACTGCTTTTTTAAAAAAATGTTCCTTCTTGGAAAACATCTGAGTTCTTGTACTAGAAGTATCAAAAACAGAACTATGAATTTATATCCTAATTGATTTAGGATTGGGGGAATATCTTTGGATTTATAAACTCTGCCTTACTGTCTAGCTTCTCACAAGTGTCTAGTTTTCCTGGAGGTAACGGAGTTGGCTAGGAGCAAAGGCAGTTTTGGCTAGAAAGACCATTCTGTTGTATAAAACTTGTAGGGTGTGAGAAAGGTGTGGTGTTTTATATAAAGAGCAAAATTCATGTCTTCCTGGTTTTGAAGATTTGAAGTTTTTTTTCTGATTAATCAGACACGAGAAAAGTTTGCAGGATTGCTATTGACTTGTGCTCCCCTATAAAGAAGAAAGAAAACCTTGTAAAGGTAACTTTTTTCCCTCAAATATTGGAATGTTTAAAGGCCTTTCAAATCAGAGTATAGTAAATAAACACACTAGACTTATTTAAAGACAGAGGGAGTCACTTGAAACTAGTTTCTCTAACATTTGAAATATGTGCCATAACTTCTAAAGTATTTTGTGTAACTGAAACACATGCAGGTGATGATGATTTATAAAGCCTAAGAAGAATCCAAGGGCAGAGTTCAATATTCATATTGAAATAGCTTTGTAAATTAAATAAGTTAATCATAACAAGCTATGGAAGGGTCATTTTTTTGCATAGTTACAACTGTTCTACACACACACACACACACAAAAACAACACAAACATGAGACTTCTCCTGCACATACACTGAGACACTGGTATGTATGTTTTTGTAGTTAGACTTCTTTCTAATGTGAAGCTTGCACACAGGGGACTGATTGACTATTTTATAAAGATGAATAAAATGTCAAATAAAATCCTTTAAAATTTTACTTGACATTTCATGGTAAATTGAGTCAGAAAGGCTTTGGAGGAGGATTGAATTAGGAAGAATCATTGAATTACACTTTTTACTTGTTATATAATCCCATTCTTCAAAGCCCAAAGGATTCTTACATGCAATTTAGCCTCAGAGCAGTGAAGTAGGGCACTCAAATGTTCATTTAACAGGCCATTATAAGCTGCAGTACAGAGAAGTGATTTGCTAGTCATACTATGATAACTACAGAGCTGAGAATAAAGTTTTGGAGTCTTTTGTCTTAAATCTATGATCTAGTGAGTGAAAATGCATGCTATTAAAGGGTATATTAACAAGCGTTTTAGAGCTTTCATGTCAAATCCACACTACAATATGTATTTTTGAAATACCACTTGTTAGCCAAGTTCTCCTGGTTGAACGGTAATACTATGAAACCCAATGTTTCAGGCCTTACCCACTATTTCATTTGTCTGAAATCTAAATAGCTTTTCAAGTAATTTTAGTGTTTTTTTTTCTTTCCTTTTTTTTTTTTTTTTTCCTTCCTTAAAGCGAATGTAAGTAACCTTTGACAAATCGCATGTCTTGATTACTGCAAAGAGAACGTGGTCCCCACAGACTGGGTACATGTTTAGACCTTCAGAGCTTAGAGGAGACCACTTTTAGTGCTAGTTTTCAGGAACACCTGGTGCTGGTGGTTTAAGGAGAGGCAGGGTTTGGGATGTGCTCTCCTGCAGCGCTCTGTGCGTTGAAGAACCCGGCTCTGGGCTGGACTCCCATCAGCCGAGCACCGAGGCCACCCAGGAGATGGTGCTCTTGAACCAGCAAACGGCGCAGCCCTGACCCAGAAGCATCCTTCAACGCAGCCCTCCCTGTTTTCTTTTTGTGTTGCACGTTATTCTTTGGGATTCCCGTTTTCTTTGGGGAGAAGAATGTGCTGGTGTTGAGCCCGGAGTGTATTCCCCTCCGATCCATAATGCGATTCCCAGGCAGGTGATCCTATGCCCGCGTCTGAAATGACGCTGGTGCTCGAAGGAGGCGTTTTTTCCCTGGACTGCGTGGCTGGCAAGATGCTAGAGCCGAGCAGGGAGCAGCTTCGTGGCTGATTGCCCTGACCAGAGCCTGGGACGTGCTGCACCCAAGCCAAACATCTGCTGGGTGCCGGCTCCATCGCTACCAAGGGTGGTGAACAGCAAGACTGGGTGCAGGGGCTCCCCACGGCCTCCCTGCCATCCCACGGGACAGCCTGTTCCTGCAGACACGTGTCTCGGAAAGGTAAGGGTGGCTCTGTTTTGGCAAGGTCCCAGGTAGGGGGATGTGGTGCCATTTGGCTGCTGACTGCCTCTGACGCGTGATGTGCACGGGGACACGAGGGGCTGAGCTGCTGCCGATGCCACGCGGGGGTGCTCAGCTGTGGAGCTCACCCTCCCACCCAGGCTGGTGAGGTGGGAAGAGGGGATTTGGATGGTCTGTTGAGCCCAGAGTGGCAAG